CCATCAGCTGGGGACAGGGGCAGTGGGACAACCAGGACTACACCAGAGACTCAGGGGGATTTTATCCATACAGAAATATTTTGGAGTTTTTGGGAGGCTGACTCGGAAAGACTCAGACCTCTTGGGCTTTCCAAGTGGCAGCAGGAGGTGGCAAGTGTTGGGAAGGAGCTCTGACACGATGGTGCCGTCCCTCAAAACCATGGGTGGCACTCAGCTGCTTGCTCAGCCCGTGTCTGTAGCAGGCCTGCCTTCAGGATTTTTTTGGTGGAGTGGAATGAATGGAGAGAAATAAATAAATACTAATAAATAATAAGAAGAAACTCAGAAAAGAAAGGGAAACGGGGAAAGCTTCTCCTCACACTTTCCCCGCTTCCATGCAGGGCTGTCCAAGACCTCCCTTGGAGTGCAGAATGTGTAAGAAAAGCCTACAGAGGAGGAGAGCACATGGAAAAGACCCTTGTGGCTTCAGGAACTTTCTCTATCTGGGTGGTGTTCACCTGAGAGCAGGATTTTACCCGTGGATGACTTGGTGGGACCTGTCCATTTCTATTATGTGCTCCTCAACAGGAAGAGCAGAGATGCTCCCCTGGGGTCAAAGCCACGACAAACCGGGCAGTAAAGTGGATTCAAATAATTATTTTTACAGAACAGGTCCACCTTCTGCTCCCCTTGAGACATTTGTACCTGATTTTTGTTGGCTTAAGTGAGAATTGAGACCATGACCAGTTTTCCACATTAGAGAATATAAAGAGAGTTTGGAATTTGGAGTGGGATCCTGCTCATGGATGAAGACACACACACACCTGTGGATGTCCACAAGCCTGTGTCTGCATGGCAGTCAGACATCTAAACACCCATCTCTGATGGAGAAGCATCTGCATGGATCTGTCAGATATGCCCTGAGATTCGAGGGAAGCCCACATTCTTCCAGAGTAGCTTTTAGGAGCCAGTGGGGTACCCTGGAGCATCCCAGATGGCTCTAGACACCTATTTCAATAATTTAGTTCAGCCCTAAATGCTAAGTTTAGGCAAATGGAGCCCATAATTTGGCTTGTATGGGGGTTTAAGCACCTAGCACGCATGTAGATACCTGCCTTTAAGCATCTCCCTTTGTATTCCAAATCCCACTGTAGGTACCACTGCCTGGGAATCAACTCCTGGGTCTCTTGTTCATGCTTGAGAGAAAATCTCCTCCTCCAAAATGGAGCTGCACCAAAGACCCCTCTGGAAAATGCATCAAAATGGGAGCAGAAGCTTGCCCAAGCCCACCACGACACTGTGAGGGGCAGGAATGAGGACTAAACACCTCTTATTTGAAATGGAGGCCAGAGGAGCCTCCATTTCCCATCCAGCTGAGGAATCTGCACCCCACAGATGTTTATGGAGACCTGAGCTGGGGGTGAGGAGCTGCAGAGCAGGAACTTTGCTGGAGAACACAAGGGAGGGCAGGAAACAGGAGGATGGAAGGGTTAAGCCATGAATGAAACAATTCAGCCAGATGCCACCACTGCTTCCAGTGAGAGAGGGGAAATCTAGAAAAAAGAGATATTCCCTTAATGAGAAGTCACTACAAAACCAGCCAAGATTTAGCTTGGAGGGAGGTAGAAAATAGGAAACTACAGGTATGAAGAAGAGATGAGTTCTTGTCCTGCCCAGCCCACCTTCTCTCCCACCATCCAGCACTCTGTTACATCTCACCCCAGCAGCTGCTGGAGCTCAGGAATGAATGACAGATCTGAGCAAACATCCCCTGACTCTGCCACCGCCAGCAGGGTGGTCCCTTCCCCTCAGCCCTGGAGCAGGACTCTGGAAGAGCCCAGGGATGTTTCCCTGTGGGAGCCAGGTACCAGCAATGGCTGATACCTGCAGGGCAGTTGGGTTTGGTGCCTTTCATGGTCCTGTTTTCATCTTCCCAAATGGATCTCGTTAAAGCACCAAGGGAAGTCTGGAGTAATTTCCCTAGTGTAGATCCTAGGACTGGATTCACAACTCCTGCACACTGCTCATGCTGCAACCCTGAATATCCCCAACAACAGCAAACACCAGATTTTCAGCACTGACACCAATCTTTGAAGCTAAAAAAAAAAAAAAAAGTGACCCAAAGCTCAGAGTGTTTCTCCTGTATATTAATTTAAGCATGGGGACACAATAAGAATATGAACACACATGACAAATGCAACATAATCTAGGGACATTTCTGTGGCATTACGTCTGTATGCAATGAAAACACTACAAATATTTGAGATTGAGAGGCAGAAGAAATTTTTTCTGAGGTTTGTTAATACAGAAAATCTGCAATGCTCAGCTTAGATGACAGCACTGCTGACATGGTCAGGGCTGACATGGTCAGTGCTGACTCAGGGATTTCTGTGCCATGTTGCATTTTGTGGTGTCGTTGTCTCTGCAATCCCCTCAAAAACTTAAATCCCAACTGCTTTAATTCTGCACATGAAGCTTCCCATAAGGAGTGGAAGCAAATTTGGAGACTTCAAAATGCTTTGGAGAAGACTATCAGTGCTGGGCAGTGCCTCTCCATAGTTTCATTTTCTCTGAGAAAGAGAAGCCCCCAAGTTCTAAAATTAAATCAAACCAAGGGAAAAAAAAAAAACAAACAAAACAAAACAAGAAAACCAAAAAACCAAACCCTAAAAAACCTCAAAAAAACAACCAAACTCCTAAACTTTCCATTTCTTTCATAGAAAGAAAAGAGATGAGGCCAAATTCACCCCTCTCAGGTAACGCTACTGTCTTTATTAAGCTGGATGTGGAACTGATGGGGCCCATCTGACCCATCTGTTCAGCTAAAGGAGAGGTTGGATAGCAGCATGTGAGAGGATGGAATTATGGTCCTTTTGGTCCTTTTTTACTTTTATTTTTTACATCTGCTACTTTGCTGGGTGACAACTTGTCCCTTTTCCCCCGTCCTGCCAGACACAGCCCAGGTACAAATCATCTGCCTGAGGACAAACCTCACCAGTGGACCCTGAAGGGAAGGACACCAGGGAGCACGGAGGTGGAGATGGCCAGCTCCCATCTGTGAGAAATGAATGATGATTTCCTTTTGATTATAAACTGGAGCATTACAGCAAGGTGGGGGAGAAGGTCTGACAGGAAACCATGCCCAGAGAAGTGCCCAATTCAATTGCCTACACAAAGACATCTCAGGTCATTTTGGACAGCCAGCGGTCTCTGACTGCCCAGGTTTATGATCTGTGTGGGTCTTAGGCCATTGAAACAACATCTGGACCCCAACAGAACAGTTTAGGGCATCTGTAATATGTCACCAGATGTTTATATTATTGAGTGAAATGCCAAGACCCTTCCATAAGTAATGTCCTACTGCTTCCACAGGAGAACCTGAGGCAGAAGGCAGCTCTGGATGGTATTCAGACCATCTCCTGTAGGGAAGGATGGCACCTCACTCATCATTGACTAGATTTTTCTCAGCAGTGCAGTGGAAACCCTGACTCAAGACACCCGGCGGAGGCGGCGGAGAGGGATCTCAGTTTTCCAAAGTCACCTCCCAAATTCACGTGTAGCAGTGCGCAGTAGCCCAAGCCCCCTCTCCAAAACCATGGGGTCAGACACAGGCCCAGCTCCCAGACCCCTGACAGGCTCTTTTTCCCCCTCAGGGCTGGGCAGAGTCAGACCCAGGACTGGAACCCCCCGGGCGTGCTTGGGGTGACGAACAGAATTCACGCAGGAATTTTTCATTGACTTTAGTAGCAGCTGCTCAACCCCTTACATTGTATCATCACAGAGATGATTAATTACATAACAAACCCAAACAAGCACCCACAGGCTTCGTTAAAAACCCCTTGAATGGAGGGGGAGGAGTCCCCAAGCACTGAGCTGGCTCAAGCCTGACCCCAGCTTAGAGGGAGCACAACTTCCAGCCCATCTCAGATGATGATAAGGTTGTAGTTTCACCTCCTTGACTCATGGTGGACTTCACATCGTCAGTCTGGACCCATGGAAGAACTCATTGTCTGCTCTGAGCTCAGCAGCTGAAGTCAGAGATACACCCAGAGGGCACTTAAACAAACATAACTTGGGTACCATCCTAAGTACAATGAATCACCTTCTGGATTTGTTTCTCGCCATTGATCCCGGCAGGAAAGTAGATAAATAGCTTAGACCGGATGAAACAAATCCCGCTGTTGCAGTCCAAATTTGTTCACCTCTAGAGGCAATTGCTCAGCAAATGCCTAGTTTCAAATTTTTTCCCCTGCTTCCCAAAAAGCTTCACCTGCTGGTGATGCTGGGCTTGTTCTGGTGCAAAAGCAGAAATGGTAGATGTGAACATGCTGTGGATGGGCTGGGGCCAGATTCCAGCTCCCACTCATGGAAGCCAAATCCTCCAACCCATTTCTTCACTGGTGTGGTATAAAAGAAGGAGTCTGAAACCACTTGGCTTAACAATCTTAGGGTAAAACCAGTTGTGGGTGTGACCCCGCTGAAGTCAATGGATTGAAGGGGCTGTGGCCTGCAATGATTTGAATTTGCACTGCTGGGTCACCATTTATTGACAGAAGTTCCTGGTAGGACGTGTCTGACATCTCTCACGGTGGCTGCTTGCACTGCATCATATAAGTAAACCGGATGTATCATCCCTTATCCCATCCTCTCCAATTTATCAATGTCTTCCACCCCTTATGTGGCTTTCTGGAGCATTGGCTTTCTTGACAGATTGTGTTTGAATGTTGGTTATAGGCGCAATCTCCCCCTGCAGTGGCTTCCTTCTCTACTTCCCATGATTAAATTTTCCTTTTCTCCAAGACTGCACTATGAAAATCAGTCATGCATCCATTAATCGATCTTTATTTAAGTTTTCAGGGACCCATTGCCTTCTCCATGTGGTGTGTGGCCATTGTTGGGGTGCAGTGTTCACACGGACAGATATTGCAGATTGAATTTCTCCCCATATTTTATTTCGCTTCTCTTGATCTCCTCTCTCCTCTCTCCTGCTCTCGTTTCATACAGCTTTTTTTTTTTTTTTCCAAAGCACGAATAGAAGTGCCTCCATCAATAAGCAAATCTTCCTTGTGCCCTTGGGCACAGCCCTGAGCCAAATGGGTGATGCATAAACTGCACCAGCCTAGGAGTAGTCCCAGGAGACGCTGTGACTCAGAGCCAGCCCTCGGAGGCATCATTTCCTCCTGTTTTCTCTCTGATGGAATTAAGCTCTGTTTGTTCCCTTCTTCTTCTGTACTCCCTCCGTTGGTTCCTGGGAAAAGGCTGATACACAGAGAGGAGCACTCTGATTTCTCTACAAAGATTTCCAGGAGTGAACCAGCCAACAGCCATGATTACATTGCTGTGAAATGGGAGTTAACTCATGCCCTGTTCCTTTCCTCTGTGCTGAAGAGACAGAATAAACACCAATCCATTGTCCTTTCTCCAGGATAGGAGCCCAAAAGCAGGGGTAAGGCAAAGAGGACACAGGGCAAGTGCATCTGGAGCTAAAGCAGGCTGCTACTCCTTGCTTGGTTCACCCCTCATTTATCCCAGTATTGACCAGGAATAACCCAAGCAGGGTCACAGTGCTGTGAATACCAAGGTGGTGGGCTGAGTTCATGCCTGATACCCTGAAGGAAGTCCTGATGCCCATGGAGGAGGTGAGACCTGATTCTGTAAACTGTGATCCTGATCTTCGATTGGAAGCAGAGCAACGTGCGATGATGGGGAGTCAGGGGTGAACAGCAGAGATGGGCCAGCCCTGCAAAGCTGGGATTTGGCTCTGTGTCCAAACTTAGCCAAACTCTGGGCTGGTTCATGCTCTGGGTTTTGTTCATTTTAATCTGTGCCACTTTTATAGGTGGGAATGGCTGTAGGAATTAGCCGTGGAACAAGGTTTGGCTTGAGTCTGAGACTGCTCCAGCTTGTGGGGTGTGATGGTGACGGTGGGTCAGTTCACCCTCATGTCAATTAATGGGTGACAATGAGTCCTTCAGATCCACGTTTCTGACAGACTTGTGGGCTCAGGCTGCTGCCAAGTGCCTGGGAAGCCTGCATCAGGTGCAGAGAGTGGAAGAACTAAGTGCACTTTCCACTGCTGGTGACAGACCTCCCCAACGAGGTGGGAAGGGTGAACACTTTCCCTTCCCATCCTTTCCCTGGGGTGCTGAGGAGATGGATGTCCTGTGCTCAGGAGTGGATCTCCAGCCCCAGAGACTCACTGCACTGCATGTTTCCAAGGAAGACTCACTGGCTGAGCCATGTCCCAGGCTGGAGAGCTGCAGCAGCATTCCCAGATGTGGGACTGTGTCCTTCTCAATGCACAGAGTCCTCTTCACTTCACAGACAGGACACTGAACTTCTCTGTTCTGTGCACATCACCCGTGTGCCAACAGGGCGTTTACAGGAAGTCATCAGCAGATTTCTCTCTTCCTCGCCCTCCTCTTCTCCCTCCTTCCCTTTCTACAGATGTCACGGGATCCTATGTCAAATCTGGCAGAAGCTACTACGCTAAAAAGTTCACATCAAGAGCTTGCCCACTCTCCAGCTCTGTTAGATATTTGTAGACATCTCTGGTTCCAAAGCAAAAGCAAAGAAGTAGTCATGTTCCTTACTAAAAAAATCCTTAATTTGTCTGTTTTTATTTCTTTTGCTGCTGTTGCTCATATTACACAGTCTGGCCATTTGGGTTTGCAGGGAGATCTCTCAGAAAGCTCCGTGCTGCTGTTCAGCGCAGCCTCTGCCTGGCTGAGGGAAAAGGAGATGCTTAGGAAGATGCAAGTCTTTCAAAGGACACTTAATCACACGAGTCACTTCAGGCGGGTGGGAGCAGAGCAAATCCATGCTTTTGCTAATGCTGTTCTTTCCAGCTCGGTGTTGAGGGCTGGTGGAAAAAGCTGCTCTCCTTCCGGAGGCATCGGCGTTGGGGCAGAACTTGTGTGACTGCCAGACGTACCTCGGGATAGCCCAGAAGTCATTAGACCTATTCTATCCAACCAGTTTTAGCCTTTTTATTTTTTATTTTTTTGTCCAGTTTTTATTCTTTTAATATCAAAAAAGTAGACTTCTCTCACGTCTGCAACCTCAGAGGAAGTAGGTTCAAAATCCATTTCTCCACTCGGAGCCCGGCCAAGGGTTCTGCCCGCTTTATTTGCACGTGTGGACGTCGTAGACTCGTATGCACTCCTGGCAGCGGACGTAGCAGCACCAGTGGAAGATACAGTGACACTTCTCTTTCCGTTTCTCAGTCCTCGTGTTGTGCCCGCGGCCGCAGCACAAAAGGTCGCAACCGTCAATCCCGTGGGAAGTGACGTTGCAGATCCTGTCGCGGGTCCCAAAGGAGCCGGTCTCAGGGTTGGGCTCGCAAAAGTTTGGTGAGTTCTCGTAGTAAACCAGGTCCTTCTCAGTTGGGGCCTTGAAGAAGTTGTATTTGGGACGGAGGGTCTCCACCCAGCCGCGGGATTCCCGGTGTTTTTCCACCACCATTTCGGACGCGCTGTCGTATTTGTCCTTGAGGTAGTCGCCGATGACCCTGAAGTCTGGCTGGGACCACCAGCAGGTCTTCACTTCGCAGCTGCCCGAGAGCCCGTGGCACTTGCACTTGAGGTGCATGAGCTCAATGATGGACTGCAAAAGAGAAGAAAGGCAAAGGAGAAGGAACATGTTAACCTGCAATCAAAACACTTAGGACATTCTTCCACTTGGCCATGATTTTCCAAGGAATTATGGATGTTTTCATAGATATATTTATACCCTTGTGAACAAAAAATCCCCTTATCCCCCACTCAATGCTCTGCTCACTGCTGGGTCTAAGCCAAAAAGCTTCTGTACTTTAGGGTTTTCAGTGACTTATTCTGAGTCTCAGCTCAAATTTAAGGATTTACCAATAACTTTGACCAAGGAGATTTATTAAGAAGTCAGAAGTCAAGATTTATTGATTAGACAGAAGTCTTATCGATGTTCACGTGGGAATATTGCAGTGTTGTCACCCAGGAAAAGAATTCAAACACATCTGGGCAGAGAAGCAAAGAACACACAAAGCTGCTCAAACAATGCCTTCATAAATTAAAATTGCAGCTTTTCTGTTGGAAATAAAAGGAAGATGAAATGTCCTGACTATCTACAACAGAACTCCATCCTTTACATACATTTTGTTTTTACTTAAGCAAAGAAAGTTAAAGGCTTTCTATGGCTACTTTCAGAAACTGAAAAGGAATTTATTTTTGTTTTAAAGCCAGAGTTATGATTTTTCTAAAATCACTTCAAAGGGGAAAAATAATAAGAGCCCAACTTTTGATTTGAAAGGCTCAGGCTTCAACACAAAACACTTTCCTGGGATAAATGGGAGTGTGATTCTTGATCCCAGAAGCTTGCTACTTATTTTTACATCTTATAAAATAAGTTTAAATAAATAAAGGTGTTGCCCTCCAGTACTCTGAGGTGGGAGACAACTTTATGTAACAGCTCGATAATCTGCATTTCCAGAGTGATCAGCAAATTTCTGGGTACGTGAACAGGCGAGTGCCAGCCTGAGTGCAGGAGATTTGCCATGAATCAGCACCTTGGTGTTCACCAGGTGCTTCCCTGTGTTATTTACGGAGTATCACCCCCCACAAAGCAGGCTGCAATTAGCGATCAGAGAGAACCGCAGAAGGTTTGGTCCGTATAATCATGCTGAACTTAATCAAAACTCCTGGCGGAGTGGTAGGGTTGGAGTTCCTATGAGAACTAATGTGAAACCTTGCCCATGGCTCAGGTTTAGCTGGGAGCACTCGAGTATTGAGGCCTGGAACAGCTGTCCCATGGGTGGTGGCATGGTGAGGATGGAAAACACCAGTGCGTTCTAAAACACTGGGATTTCAGGTCATGGTGTGACATCTGCTCTCTGACCTCTGACACCTGTAAAATGTCCTGGAAGAACTCAGAGTCAAGGAACAAGACTTAAGGGAAAAAAGACCTCTGCAGGCCTGTGATCACAGGAATGTTTGCTCGTTTTTTTTCCAAGGATTTTCACTTTAAAAGAAATCCCTCCTTTCCACTCTACACAGCTTCTCCCCAGTCCTCTTTTTGCCACTACATATCCCAGTAACTGCCACCAGCACTGCCCCATCCCTGGGGGTACCTGGGATAATTTAGGCCAGAGCTGGAGGAAACCACATTATTGCTTGTGGTCGTCTCCATTGCAGACAATTTTGGTTTCTGGTGGTATTTCCCTTTCAAAAGTTGTATTCCAGCAGCTCTGCTGTGGTGTGAAGTGGGATAATACCACTGGGAATTCACATTATCCACTACAGGAGCTCTCAAGAAACCTCAGCCTGCCTGAGGATGCGTTCCAGCACAGCAACTGTGGTGGCTTTGCTACAGCTCAGTGCACAAATGTCCTCCTGCATATGGGCAAGACCTTCTGCTGAGGGGACAAGACCACATTAACCTGTTATCTCAGAGAAGCTGTGGCACAATCTCTGTTAGAAAGGGCTTTGTGGCTCAGTTCTACAAATTGTTTCCCACAAATTGCAGTCTTCTGGATTTATGGGCTATTCTTGAGATGAAAAAAACCAGGAATATCCCCTTTTTGGGATTATTCCACCTAGGGAAAAGATTAATTGTGTACAAGGCAGATTTTTTGCTTTCTTTTCCCCAACATGTTTTGTTCCAGGATTGTTTGAAGTAAAAACAGCTTCAGGGCATGATCCAAGTTTAATCAGGAGGCACCAGTTACATTGCCTCTAATTTTGTTTAAGTATTTCCTGGGAAACAGAACAGGGTTGAGAAGATGGGTTGTGGGAAAAGCTGTCCTGCTCTTCTCCTCCCTCAAGGCTGCAGAGAAGGGGAATGGACAATTGCACTCAAACTTCAGGTGCCCCACACTCAATGGAAGGGAACAGGCACAATTAGGACATTATTAACTGAGTTAGTAACTTAGTGGAATCACAGAATGTTTTGGGTTAGAAGGGAGCTTAAAAATCACGCAGTTCCAACCACCCTGGAATGGGCAGAGACAGCTTCTGCTAGTCCTGTCCAACATGGCCTTGGACACTTCCAGGAATGGAGCATCCAGCATCCAACTTCTGGGGGTAAATATCCTCATAAAATGGGATAAAATCCCATCCTACCGCCACCTTGATCCATCCTCTATAAAAGAGGTCTGGACAGCTGATTCCAAGGCAGGCGTTCACATCTGTGTCCTGGATTGATGTGGAGCTTCCATAGACCAGGCACGTCAACCCAGAACTACCATAGGACAGGTATTACCATTTGTTGACATAAATTTAGGTCTTTTGAGCCCCCACAATTCCCTCCCACCATTCATCCTATCAGGTAAGAAAAAAACAACAGGAAAGGAGAAACTGAAATGTCCTTACGGTCCTTCCAGCCTCGTTGTTGTGCCTGTTCATGGCCGAGCGCGCGTCGGGCCTGTTCTCCCGCGCGTCGGCGAACTCCCGGGACACCATGCTCCCGAACTCCACGTCCTCGCTGCAGCCCCCCCACTTCCAGCCCTCCCCAGGAGAGCCCTTGTGGCGCGTGTCACACCCGCAGATGGTGGCCGAGCCCTCGGCGCAGGATCTGGTGACGGCGAAAGCCACCCCGGCGGAGGCGATGGCGTGGACGAAGGCCGACTCCCTGGTGGCTGCGAGAGAGAGAAGGCAGTGAGGAGGGGCAGGAGCCAGGGACCTCATTAAATTGGGGGAGCTGGCTGGACAGAACGCACATCCAACCAATATGGTTAATGTAACGTTCTCCGTTTATTCCAGAGAAGATGGCAGTTTTTATACACTTTTATTTATATAGTTTACAGTTTACAAAGGCACTCTGATTGGCAAGCTAACGTTGTTTATCTTTGTCTTAAGGTGGCCTAAACCTTACACTATAAACCTATACTACTTCACACCCAGACAGCCCAGTGCTCCCCATCACACCTTAATACAATTTTTAACTGCGCCACAAACTCTTAATTTCTAACTGTGCCACAAACTCTTAATTTCTAACTGCGTCACAAACTCTTAATTTCTAACTGTGCCACAAACTCTTAATTTCTAACTGCGCCACAAACTCTTAATTTCTAATTGTGCCACAAACTCTTAATTTCTAACTGCGTCACAAATTCTTTAATTTCTAACTGCGTCACAGGCTGGAAGGCCTCGCAAGGCCCAGATCCGAGGCCTTGACTGGAGCAGCTCAAATCTCATTCCAAACATAAATCATGACCTGTCTCCCTCAGAAATGCTGCAACAAGGGGCCAGTCAAGGATGGGTTTGGTCAGTCCTGTGAACATCTTCTCTGGAAGGCATGGCAGAAGGCCAGGAAATCCTCCTCTTCCCTGTGGTCTGGCTTGGACCTACTCCAAAGACGTTTTGCTAGGAAAGGATCTCCTGTGCAGACAGGACCAGGCTTGATTCAAGGCCACTGAGGTCAGCCAAAAAGTTCTGACTGGGGTCATCCTCAGGTCTTTGGATAGGGCCATGGCACCACAGGCAGAAGGGCGAACCAGAATTTCAGGGGGCACATGGAATATTCTATGTGGTACTGTGCAGTCCATGCACCACAGAGCCAGACCCCGAGCTTCACATCAGAATTTGGGTTATGTTCCCTTGACAAATAAAAAATTCAGGTTTACACTTAACAACAGCCTCATGCTTTACCTGGTGGTGGGACCAGCACCAGGTAAAGCTCCTCTTCCTTGACAGGGAGAGGTGCTGGTGGCTGGAAGGCAGGAAAATGCCAGGATGGTCAGATCCTCGATCCTCAGGATATAACCCACTGTCCCCTCCCTCCATCCCTTTTTCCCCGAGGCTGTGCCTCTCACTGGGTGACAGCACTCAAGGTGCACCTTGCACATGCCCCAAGTTTTCATCCCTTGCCTAATCAAGGTCCCTGCCAAGGGGACTGGAAATGAGCTTTCCTCTATGCCCACTGCCTCGGGCTGGAGGGTGGGATCAGCCACAAGATGTCATGGCTGAGGACTGAGGAGTTTTAATCTTTGTGCAGAGCTTCCCTCATAGCTTTCCATCCCAGGGAGAGCTGGGCAGGGAAGGGGAGCAGGGAAGGCTTACCTGGATGCCAGCGCTTTTTCCACACTGTGCCAAAATGAAAACCAAACTTTTCAAGCTGCTTTGCAAGTGGGGAATACCCCAAGATATCAATTTTTATTTCCCTTTCTCCTCGCAGTTTTGATTTCTTCACTCACAAGGAATGACCCCGCAGTTCAACATCACACCCCAGAAAACACCACTGCTTTTTGGCTGCAGTAAAATGGGATTTTTACCATGAACGGGGCTGTTCTCAAACCCTTGGGGCAATCCTAAGCAGGCACAATGATTCTGAAAACTCCCTTAACCTCTATTATTCCTCACCCACCTTGTGCTTATAGACCAGGTATCCTAGAAATTGTGTTCTTCCTGACACTTTTCAGATTATTCCACTGGGACATTGAAATTTAATGGATCCATAAAGTCACAAGGTCACATTTTCAGTTGATGCAACTTCACCAAATCTTCTACTGAGCTTTGCATCAGCTGACTACTCAAAAACCACTCAAACCTTCCCTGCACCATATTTTGCTGATCTGAGCTTTCCCTGGGCATTTTGGCTTAATCTTTGCCTTCCAGATGCTTCTAGGCTTTACTAATATGAAGAGAGTTTATTGCACCAAGCCAAAAAGCCAACATGGTTTCGGGGAGCAATCACAACTGCGGAGCAGTCCAGGCTGGATTTTGGGCTTAAGCAAGAACCCAAGCTTTGCTTTGGGAAGGCTACCAAATACAACAATATGCAAATCCCATAAGGTGCATGAACTTACAGGCTGAAGGGATGAGCAATGTCCTGGAACGTGTTTATTTTCCAGGGCACTTGGGGAGGTTATTAAGTCACTGAGGGCTACAACCAAAAAGAAAAAAAAAGGAAAATGCAGGAACCCTCAGGTCGCCAGTGTGATTTTGAAAAGCCCTTGTTCAGCATCTGTCCAGCCTGGAGGATCCCAGCATCCTGCAAATGATGACCATGCAGTTCTTGACTGTGAAAGCTCAGCTTAGAGCATGAACAGGAGAGTCCCGTTCAAACAGGAATGAGGACTCTGCCTCTTTTGCTTGCCTAAGTCCAGGTGGGATCCAGAAACCAAATTTTGAGGGTGGAGTGCTTCATATGAGGTCTCCAAGAACGTTTTTGAGCAGCCCTGGTGTCTCTGAAGAATGAAAGGCTCCTCACAAAAGCAGTGAGGTGAGGTGGTGGGGTGGATGCTGTTATAATCTGTAGGGAGGTGGAAGGTGCTGTGTCTGAGAAGGGCTGACACACCTCCCACATCCTCCCAGTGTGCCCAGCTGATCCTGAAACCTTTCCATAAAATCACAGAATGGGTGGGTTGGAAGATCCTTAAAGGTCATGTGGTTCCAGCATTCCCAGTTTTTCTTCTCAGGGCTCCTTCCACTCCATTCTCCACCCAGCCTGTGTTTGGGATTGGGATTGGCCTGGCCCTTGTGCAGGACTGTGAAAACTGGATTTGTAAAGGATTCTCAAAACCTGACTGAAAGCTCACTCAGTCTTGTACATCTGTGTGCAGACTCTGAGATAAGGTGTGCTGACTTAGGAGCCCATGGAATAGAGATGGCATTGCTGAGAGAGAGACTGAACTAGAAACAAGCTTCAAACAACAGCCTTGCAATAACACCAGATATTTTGGAGAATCAGAACTGTGAAAGATGCATTCTAGCAAAACCACGTGGGGTAGAATAACAGATGATTGGTGTTAGAAGTATTAGCAGCATTGTGTGGCAAAAGCTAATAGGCTGAAAAACATTTATAAGGTATTGTAACCAGGAAATAGGGTGCCTTCTGATGGAATGGCATTGGATTTTACATCTCTTCTGTCTCACCCTTCATCGAGACTGAAAATGGAATAAAATCTTCTAAAGCACCTCTCAGTTGCCCTGTCTCTGTAGAGCTGGCGTTTTCCAGCACTTGGCCTTGCTGAGCCCCATGAGGTTTGCACAGACCCACATCTCCAGCCTGCCCAGCTCCCTCTGGATGCTTCCCTTCCCTCCAGAATCTGCCTGCACCTCTCAGCCTGGTTGCACCAGCAAACTCTCGAGGGTGCCCTGGATCATCCCACTGCCCATGGCACCAGCAAGCAGTGCCAGCCCCAACCCCAAGGAACACCACTGCACCTCCTAGGGTGCCACCATACAGATAATTCCTGACCCACCAGGTGGTCCATCCATCAAATCCAGCTATCTCCAGTTTAGAGACAAGGATGCTGTGCTTTCCTAAAGCTTCCTTGGTTAGGTCAGCTCTCCTCTCCTGGGAATCACCCTTTCCTCTGCTCGGGAGAGATCTGATCCAGGCCTTTGGCTTATTGGGAAGGAGCTGTAGGTGCTGAACTGATGTTAGCAAACCTCGGGGAGACTCTCTGTGCCTTGCCAAGCCTGGACCAAAAAGAAAATGTCTACAGCCGTGGTGTTTGTGCAGGAAAACTTCTCCTGTGTGGGTATGAGAGGGGTGGCCTTGCCTTGGGAGTCCCCAGCTTGTGGATCCCAGCTTGGATTCAGCAGGAGCCATCAGCTCAGAGGCGTTTCCCTGTGCATTCCTCTCAATACAAGAAGGACATGGAGGGGTTGGAGCATGTCCAGGAATGGGAATGGAGCTGGGAAGGGGCTGGATCACCAGAAGCAGCTGAGGGAGCTGGGAAGGGGCTCAGCCTGGAGAAAAGGGGGATCAGGGGGGACCTTGTGGCTCTGCACAGCTCCTGCCAGGAGGGGACAGCCAGGGGGGAGTCGGGCTCTGCTCCAGGGAACAGGGACAGGAGGAGAGGGAACGGCCTCAAGTTGTGTCAAGGATTGGATATTAGGGAAATTTTGGATATTTGGGTTGGATATTAGGGAAAATTTCTTCACTGAAAAGGTTGTCAGGCAATGGCACGGCTGCCCAGGGCAGTGGTGGAGTCACCTGGAGTCACCTGGAGGGATTTAACAGGATTTAGCACTTGGGATACCAATGGACGTGGCAGTGCTGGGTTCATGTTTGGGCTCAGTGACCTTTGCTGGTCTTTTCCAACCTTAAGGATTCTACAATCCAGTGATTCTGTCCAGGTGCAGAGCTCAAAGCCCAGGGAGCTTCAGGCAGCACAGCCTGGAGCATTCCTGTTTACCAGGACTCGGCCACAGCCGAACAAGCAGTTCCAGGCAGACAGTTTGGGCTGTAGACACCAAACCCTAAATCTCAGCTCCATCACCTAAACTCCCCACGGTTTTTAGCCCTTGTTGAAAGCCAGGAGGGTATTGATGGGATTTGCCTTAAGAAGCACCAATTACAGCGAACTCTTCTCTTCTCTTCCCAGAAAGCGCCTTTTACAGCCTGGATAGGACTTGTAATCACTCCCCTGCTTTTGAAATGCAGCCACCACTTAAGAGAGCACAACAGGAAGCAAATCGCCTTGTATCTGATCGTAAGTACCTGGGGAATGCAGGCGGGCAGGGCCAAGGAGCCGAGATCTGGCCCCGGGGCACTGAGGTGAGGAGTTTTGTCTCTTGAGAAAGTCGCAGCCGATCTCTTAATGACTCCACGGAATTAGGGCACTGGGTTTAACATCTCCTAGCCCTAAGTTAAGGCAGCGGGTTCAGCATTGACGCAGATGGAGCGGTGCCATCCCCTGAGTCACGTCCTGCCACCTCCTGAGCCATGGCACTGTCCTGCCTTCACCACCCA